TGGCAGGGGGCTGTAGCCAAAATGAGTTTGTCTTTAAGCTCTTCTTCCATTCATCCAAATCAGGCCTAAACATGCTTGAATTGCATGAATTATGCTCTCTTACTCTATTGGCCTACAAAACACACAAATAGAGGCAAATAACTCAGAATTATAGGAAACTAAGCAAAAGAAGTAAGTAAATTGGGCATGTATATGTATGAAATTATGAGCTTAACAAGTAGCCACATGCCAGTAATTATTCCTAATAAATGGCTGAAAATCACAATTAAAATGATTAAAATGGGTGTCCTTTGTTATATATTGTTGTGACGTGGAAGCTGCGTTAAAAAGGTTGTTCAAGTTGTTGAAACGCATGTGGCAAATGAAGACCTGACACTATCTCTATGAATCTATGATCTCTATCAAAAAGATTGACGAGGAAGATGCGCCTCGGAAATGCAAGATGCTTTGCTGGGGGATAGAGAAAGCTCTGGGGGGCTTGTCGAGCTTTATCACTTACTAGATGTACAACTACTTTATTCTCTACTATTCATCTTCCCCATGTTTCTGTCTAGATTCAAATTTCAACAACTCAATATATATGATTACATGGATGGATAGATTTACTCTTTACTTAGCAATTGCTGAAACCACAACTGATTGATATGTTGCTTTGCTAACTACTAATCTCTCAGTTTGTTCGTAATTAACTATCCAAACTCTCTGAATTAAGACCCAACTAAGTTGGGCAAAATCAAAGTTGTTGGAAATGTCATGTATAGTGTATGTATGCATTTGCTCAGAGTTCGGATCTTTTGTCCCCAAACTACCTGTCCCCTCCTTATCACCTATTTAATATTTTGACATTTGTCCATAAACTTAACATAAGACAAACTCTGTTAATACTCTTTGTCCTTTCTTCGTCTCCCATCGCCTCTGTAATTTCAATGATTTCTCCACCGTTAGTAGTCAGCAGCGGACAAAAAGACACAATTTCGTCCATCTTGTTTTTCTAATTTTTTTTCCTATCCATTTTTTCCCCTTAGCAAAAAGAAATCCCAACTTCGAAGCTCCCTTCCTGACTTTTGAATCTTAATTTCTAGCAATTGCCCTTGTTTTAGAAATTTCACGCAACCCATAAGCCCATCTGACATTATCAGTATGTTGGAATTTTTTGGTAATACAAGTAGAAAATCACTCAAGATATTATGCAAAGATAAGAGAAAGAGAATTTTGGAATTGGAACTTAGAGGTCTAGCTTTAGAGAGAAGTCTAGACTTGTTTCTGTATTTTTTTTTCTTTTCAATTGATTCACAATGAGAGCAACTCACTCTAAAAAATATCTATTACAAGCTTAATTGCCCACTAGGTGGTTAGCTTATTGATACAGCGCGTTTAGCAAATACATACATGGACCATTGGGATCACGTTCATGCATGAGGAAAGTCTTAATAACCTATATTAAATAAGTGTCTCTTCATATGTGGGAGTTATCTAGGTTCATGAATAAAGTTATGGAGAGTCTTTTCATCTTTGTGAGTTATAGGGAGATTTAATGTGAAGTTATCATTAGGAGGGAAGTTGGGATAAGAAAGGTTTAGGAGAGTTATGAGGAGTTATCTCATCTTGATTGAGAGGCTCCTATAAATAATGCATGAAATTGTAGGAAAGGTCAGTTGATGTTTATTATTGAATGAAGATTGAGATTTTTCTCTCATATCTTTACTCTTTTCTTGGGTATTCTCAAAATTAACAGATTAGAGTTTTAATTCCGGGTATTCTTAGAATCAACGGAGTTAAGTTTGCTCGAAAATTATCTTTTGTTCTTGTTCCGCTGCATCAGTTGGTATCAGAGCAGGCTTTCGGCCTGCACTCCGAGATCCTGGTGCCCGAAAAAATTAAATTTATAAAAAATAATAATAATATAAAAATATAAAAAATAAATAAAAAAAAAAGAAGTCTAGCTCTATGGCTCCAAGAGGCGGAGGACGCGGTGGTCGGCAAAATGTTGAGGATGCAAGGTACGCACGTTTAGAGGAACAAATCCAACAATTTGAGGAGCGCTTTGACAAGATTGCGGAACAAATTGCTGCACTAAATATTGAGAACCGATCTCAAAGTCATCATGAAGAGGAGGAAGAACGTTATGAAAGTGAAGAGACTAAAAATCCATTTGGGAATCATAGACGAAGAAGACATGTTCCCCCACGAGATCATGGGCGATGGGAGTCGGGTTTCAAACTCAAAATTCTAGAATTTAAAGGATGTTTGCAACCAGAAGAATTCTTGGATTGGGTTGCTGCGCAGTTGAAGAAGTTTTTGGATTTCAAAGATGTGCCACAAGACGAGCGGGTTCCCTTAGTGGCTACTCGATTTCGAGGCAGAGCGTCTGTGTGGTGGGTGGCAGCAACTGAAGCAAACTCGAGTCCGAAAAGAAAAGCAGAAAATTGATACGTGGGAAAAATTGCTAAAGTATATATGCGAACCACCTTCCTTCCACACAATTACTCTAGAGCATTGTATCAACAACTCCAGAACTTGCGCCAAGGTTCTCGCTCTGTCGATGAATACACAACAGAGTTCTATCAATTGACTGCCCGTATTGATTTGGGAGAGTCTGAAGATCAGTTGGTATCAGAGTGGGATTCAATTGCAAAATTGAAATCCTGGGGAGGAACTGCACGCTAGTTGTGTAGTTAGTCAAATCTACATCAGCTGTTATAAAAAATGGTTAGTGGTGATCATACATTTGATCATTTATTAGATTTGGATCTCCCTCCAATATTTGATCGATGTTCAGATGGTTCTTGCGAGATTTGTTGTGATTATTATTTTACAGTTGAGAAGGTTTTTGACACGAAACTGAAATAAATGGAATGCATTGAAGAAGTTGTGGAAAATTATGTCAACCTACATATTGCAATTGTCGATGATTCCGTCACTTCATTAAACTCTCATGATACTTTCGAAGTTGTTGAATATATTGATTTCATGAGGGTTGTAAATTTCAATCATCATAGTGCAACCACTTTGGTTGATACCATATATAGAATATCTGGGTTAAGAGATTGGCCGTGGAGAATTTACACAATTTGAGAATATTCAAATATTCAAAATATTTATTTCTTTGGAGTTGGAGATTTCAATTTGAAAACCAACAATCAATGATCATGATTTTAATCCGAAAAGGCATAAATTCGAGGGTGAATTTTTGCCAACCTGGGGAGGTGATGCAGCGCGTTTAGCAAATACATACATGGACCATTGGGATCACGTTCATGCATGAGGAAAGTCTTAATAACCTATTGTTGAGGCCCAAAAAATCCAAGGTTGGGCCCAAATATATTTCTAGCCCAATACGACACCTAACTTGGGAAGAAACCCAACTTGGGTGCGCAAGAGTTCGTCATATACGCTTGCACACGTGCCACACCAAGCAAATAAGCAACACGCCACGCTACAAGCTTAAGTGGGCCTAAGCCACACGAATGCCTGGGGCTTGCTGAGCGGGTTGTGGTATGGATGGTTACGAGTTTTTATGAGGCCCATTGATGAGTCGAGAAATGGAAGTTTTGGGCTACTTGGGTGCCCCGAAACTCGAGCCCATTTCTTGAGCCCAAATATGTGGGGAAGCATAAAAGAGAGAAAAAAAACCCAATACTCTAGAAAAACCAGCCCAAATACTCTACGAAAAATAGCCCATCATTTTGATAAAATAGCCCATTACCTAAGGAGATTAGCCCATTCTCTTAATTGGCTAACCCATCACCTTAGGAAAGCCCAAGCAACCAAGAAGAAAATATCTGCAATCTCCAGCACATGGCTGGAGACAAAAGCCTCGACAAAAGCCAAAGCTGCCTATGTATGCAGGCTGCTGGGAATCTCCAGCACATGGCCAAAGACAATTCCCAACACAAGCCATCCAGAAAACCAAAGGATACTTGAGCAAAACACCCTTCAAACCAGCGTGCATACCCATTTCCTTTCCCTCATTAGACCTGGCCATGGAAGAAGGAAGGAAAGAAAGGAGGGAGATGGCTGGGAATAGGAATTCTCCACTGAGGCAGTCGCGGGAAGAGCATTGAGCTCCCAAAAATCCCTGATTTTGTGAGATTAGGCAGAGGGGATTTTTACCATGATAAGATAAGTCATAGGAAGGGTGGAAAAAGGAAGGAAAAAGATTGGCCAAAATAGATAGAAATCATTAGGGTTTCTTGGAAAAGAATGGCTTCCAGCGCCTATAAAACGGGCCATCTCCTACCCATCAAACCAACCACATCAAGAGAGCAAGCATCATCTCTCATCCTTACAACCCACATCCAGAGAGCAAGCTTCCTCTCCCACTTGCAAAACCCAACAAATTTGTGCTCTATTCATCCCTTTCCCCCATTTTTCCTTTTCTGGTAGACTGTTCTAACACTTGACAGAGCCTCTGTCAAGCTGCCGAAAAAACACTCAAGCCACTCATTCCTCTCTCTTTCCCTTATTCTCTCTTTCCCTTATTCTTAGCCAAACCTTCATGCAGACCCTTCTTCTCTTACCTTAACACCCCCCTTTTCTCCCAGGAACTCACAGCTTTCTCTCTTTAAGTGCTAAACTCATGACTACTTTGCTCCCATGCCACAAGCTTCTCATGCCAAGCTAAGAATTTATCTGTAAATTGTTGTTATTTTCGTTGGTGAAGGTAACCAAGGTGTTTCCTAAGGCTTCACTACCCTTTCGAAACATTCTTGGGGCTTGATCTTCGAACTCAAACACAGGGGGATAATTTCATCAGTTCACTCCTTACGGTAGCCCAACCCATTTGTAGCTGCCGGAACGAAAAAGCCCCCTTCCAGCGCCTATAAAAAGGGTCATCTCCTACTCATCAAACCAACCACATCAAGAGAGCAAGCATCATCTCTCATCCTTACAACCCACATCCAGATATCAAGCTTCCTGTTTCACTTGCAAAACCCAGCAAATTCGTGTTCTATTCATCATTTTCCCCCATTTTCCCTCCTTACGGCAGCCCAGCCCATTTGTAGCTGCCGGAACGAATTATGTAGGGGACTTTTTCTTCCGGTAACTACAAATGGGTTGGCCTGCCGTAAGGAGTGAATTGGTGAAGTTATCCCCCTGTGTCTGAGTTCGAAGATCAAGCCCCAAGAATGTTTCGAAAGGGTAGTAAAGCCTTAGGAAACACCTTGGTTACCTCCACCAATGGAAATAACAACTTACAGGTAGATTCTTAACTTGGCATGAGAGGCTTGTGGCATGGAACCAAAATCATCATGAGTTTAGCATAAACAGAGAGAGGGCTGTGAATTCCTATGAGAAACGGGGGTTTTAAAACAAGGGGGAATGGATTCTAGGAGGTTTGCTAAAGAGGGAAAAAGATGGGGAAGAATGATGGGTGGCTTAAGTAATTTCCGGCAGCTCGACAGAGGTTCTGTCAAGTATTAGAATAGTCTGACATGAGAGAAAGATGGGGGGAGAATGATGAACAGAGCACGAAATCGCTGGGTCTTGGAAGTAAGAGAGGAAGCTTGCTCTCTGGATGTGGTTGGTTTTGATGGGTAGAAGATGACCCTTTTTATAGTTGCTGGAAACTCCTCTTTTCCAAGAAACCCTAATGGTTTCTATCCAATTTGGCCAAGTCTTTCCTCTCCTTTTTCTCCTCTTCCCTTGACTCATCCTACTTTGTGAAATTCTCTCTGCCCAATTGCATAAAAACAGGGTTTTGGGAGCTCTAGGCTCTTCCCGCAGCTGCTCCTATGGGGGACCCCCATTTTCAGCCATCTTCCTTCCTTTTTTTCTCCCCTCTTCCATGGCTAGATCTGATGGGGGGGATAAGAAATCGGTATGTACACTGGTCTAAAGGGTGCCTTGGCTCCTAGCAACCTAAGCACGCTAACACGCCTTGGCTCTTTGCGTGTTCCACCTTGGTGTTCGTTATTTGCCCATGTGCTGGAGCCTCCCAGTAGCTCACATATAAGGGCAGCTTTGGCTCTTTGTCGTGGCTTTTATCTCCAGCCATGTGTTGGAGATTGCAGATAATTATTTTGGATGTGTGGGCTTTTCTAAGGTGATGGTCTAGCGAATTAGGGGAATGGGCCAATCCTTTTCACGTGATGGGCTATTTTATTGAGATAATGGGCTGATTTTTCTAGGCTATTGGGCTACTTTCCTTCTCTCTTTTATGCTTACCCACATGTTTGGGCTCAAGAAATGGGCCTGAGTTTCGAGGTTCCCAAGCAACCCGAGACTTCCATTTCTCGACCCATCAATGGGCCTCATGACAACTTATTACCATCCATACCACAACCCACTCAAGCAAGCCCCGGGCATTTGCTTGGCTTGGGCCCACTTAAGCTTGTAGCGTGGCTAGGTGTAATAATAATGATTTTTGCTTGGCATTGCATGTCACTTGGCGTGCTTGAATTTTGTCGCCTTTAAAAGGGACATGATGCTTGACAGGATAATTAGCATGGGCTTGTAGAGCCAGTGCATTTTATAGGCTCTAGCGTGGCGGATTACATATTTATTTGGTATGGCACGTGGATCGTGACTCGTGCGAGCATGAATGACGAACTTTTGCATGCCCGAATCTGGTTTCTTCTTAATTAGTAAAGTATCGTATTGGGACCAAAATATATTTGGGCCTAGCCTTGGATTTTTTGGGCCTCAACACCTATATTAAATAAGTGTCTCTTCGTATGTGGGAGTTATCTAGGTTCATGAATAAAGTTATGGAGAGTCTTTTCATCTTTGTGAGTTATAGGGAGATTTAATGTGAAGTTATCATTAAGAGGGAAGGTGGGATAAGAAAAGTTTAGGAGAGTTATGAGGAGTTATCTCATCTTGATTGAGAGAGGCTCCTATAAATAATGCATGAAATTGTAAGAAAGGGCAGTTGATGTTTATTATTGAATGGAGATTGAGATTTTTCTCTCATCTCTTTACTCTTTTCCTAGGTATTCTCAGAATTAACAGATTAGAGTTTTAATTCCGGGTATTCTTAGAATCAACAGAGTTAAGTTTGCTCGAAAATTATCTTTTGTTCTTGTTTCACTGCATCACTTACCCACCAAAAGGAAAGGCTAGAAATAGCCAATTCACATACCACCTATGTGGCCTCCTAATAGCCATATAAACAAAAACATCAATTTTAAAGTTTCCCACAAAAGTGGCTCAAACTGTTTTTTCAGAGAATTACCACTAGAGTTTCCCACAAACGTGGCTCAATCTTCTTTTTGTTTTCAGAGAATTACAACAAAAACATTACTCAAGTTTAATAGGGTAGCCCATTCAAAGATTTTTTCCAGTATTGATATCCTTTTGGAACAAGAACTTCGTCTGTATGGAAATGAGGAAGAAATTGTTTAATTTTTGGGTTATAAAAAAAAAACAATGAAAATTTGAAAAGAAGAAGAGTGGCTGAAAATTACAGGCAAACACTTCTAAGAAATGCAAAATAATCACCCACTGAACCTTGTTTTTCCTAGATTTATCATATTATTTTGTATCTTCTTGATTCTTCCATCACCAACTCAAGCTTTTCGTACTGTCTGGGTAATCACATATATTACAGGAATTCTTATGCCTTAAGAAAATAAAAACATATGTGTGTGGGATTTTGCCATGCTGGTGATGGGTGATGAATATCGATGGATTTTTGAAGTTATTTTCAGTGGGCATTCAGACGATAGGGGGATAGACATTGAAACAACAGAACCTTTTTTTGTATTTTATTATTGTTTTTTTATATAAGTAACAGAGTTTGGCTTCCGTTAAGTTTGTGGACAGATGTCAAAATATTAAATAGGTGACAAAGAGGGGACATGGGGTTTGGGGACAGAAGATCCAGACTCATTTGCTTAAAACCTTAACCAAACAAATGAAACATAAAGAGTTATGGATTATCAAGTTCTAATAAGTGGTACGTAGTATCAACATTAACTCTTCAACTTTTATTTAGAGAAAAATAAAATCAGTAGAAAAGGAAGAAAGAAACAAAAAGACGTACTTTTAGAACTAAAACCCCAGGGCATTGATCGGTTCATAATTGTATATTATTTCTTACCCTTCTAGCTTATGATTTGGTTATGTTTTTGAGTTAAACTTGTGCTTTTAATCCTTTTTGTGTTTATCTTTCAGTTTTCGTGCACTTGCGAGTATCACAAGTTGAGGATGCAGTTGAACCCATTTTGGTGCAGCTGAATCTACGCAATAGGCATCCAATGAAAATTTGTGTATAAACCCCCTCCCCCAGTCACATGTACTAAAAAAAATTAATAAATAAAATAAAAGAGTGAAGGGGTGAAGAAAAAGTCTAATAGGAAAAAAAAAATAAGAGAAAGAGGAAGCATATCTAGTGAGCAAAGAGATAACTCAGTGGCAAGAAAAAAGTATGCTTTTTTTCCCCTTCAGATTAATATATAGTAAAACATATTTCTAATATAGAACAAACTTTAAGCCCATGTTTGGTGCCTAAGATTGGGATAGCTCACTATTCAAGGTATGTTGAAGGTGAAGGCTAACTTAGATTTTGTTCAAGTAAGTGCCTGTTTAGCATTGCTTATTTGGGGTGATAAGTGATTTTTTTAAAATTTTGGAAAGCCCAGTCCGTTTAGTAAATTATGAGAAAATTATTGTTAAAAATTGTTGTGAGAGAAAGCTATATGGGAAAGCAGCTAATAAGGTGCTTTCATTTTCTAATTATGCAGGAATCAGTTTCGAAGAAGCGCTGGATTTAATGATTATATGGCAATTATTTTCTGATTATTCGGGAATCAGTACCAACAACACTTTTAACAAAACGTTTACCAAATGCCAAATTGCTTTCTCCCACAACTGATTTCTCTCACAACAAATTTGATAGCGATTATTTTCACAGCACAGCAATGCCAAACTAGTAAAAGATGAATCAGTCATTAAGCACATTTATCCCTTCTAATCCTCATAAAATAAAAATTAAAAAAATATATTTTAACTCTATCTTATTTATTGCTTCAACAAAATTTTGAATTTTGTGACTTATCCAATCCAGTTCAATTCTAAGCACTTGATTTATGCTAGGAATAAACTTTCCATTGAAAAAAGAGTTATGGAAGGAAATATCCAACATATATATCCAAGCAATCGCTCGCCAACACAAGTTAGTGGATCGGGCTAGCTCAAGTAAAAAAAATGTTTCTTATTTTTCCTAAAACAAGTTTAAGAAACTTGTCGCCGAAGAAAGCGAATTTGGAAACAACCCACCACCACCCAATCTCTATATATACAGTATACTCGTTAGTCCCATCCCTAACTCTATACAACTCTAAAACCCTGGAGCTACTTCTTCTCTTTAAGAAACTATTGCTCATCACTGAATCAATTTCCATGGACGACGAAGCAATTGAAGTCCATCACGAGGACAGGCACTACAACTTTAAAGGTTCACCCCTTACCCCAGATTTACTAAAAGGCTTCCATGATGATGATGATGATGATGATGAAAGGCTTCGGGTCAACTTTGACTACGAAGTTAACCATATATACTAAGATGTTCGTTCCCCACATGTTATTGGAACTAGTCGTCCAAAATTCATCGATCAATGTATCGAAAAACATAAAAAAAAACAATCTATCTTGCACAAAGATTCATATCCTGTTCTTTCTAAGGCGATGTCGTCCTTCGGGATCACAAGAGGTCATGTGGTGCGGGGTATAGTGGATGAGATTGTAAAGCAGGGTTGCGAAGCTCGCCCAAAAAGGTTTCCCAACAGGCTTGGCATGCTATTTGGACTGTACGTTTGTATTCTTAAAGACCATCGCATGTATCGGTGCCAGCAATGTTTGGTGGATAGCGTTCTGAGAGAGTCAATGGCGGCGGTGGAGGTCAAGATGGTACCGGCGAGTGAGTCATCCAACAAGAAGGTGCTAAAGACGGTTATAGTTGGTCAAGGGAGAGAGACAATAAGGAGAATTTATCTGAGTATAAGTGAGATGATGTGAAGGAGGAGGAAGAGGGTTGAGAGAGAGAGAGGAGGAGGACTAGTGTGAGTGAAGGTGAGAGTTGCAGTGTTTGTATGGAGGAGTTTGAGGGAGGAACAACAGTCGCTTGCATGCCTTGCTCTCATGTGTTTCATGGCGAGTGCATAGTAAACTGGCTTAGACAAGGTTACTACTGTCCTGTTTGCCGCGATGAGGTGCCGACTGATTGATGAAAACCTTTGCTTAATTGGATTGATGTTCCTTTTTGAAATTGGTTAAGATCTCCTTGGATTGGATGGATGTTGTGCTCTTGAACCAGAACACTTGCATAATTACTACACATTATAAGCATTAACAAGGCCTACTTCAAGTTAAGGGGTTTAGTCCATTGAAAAAGAAAAATCTAGAAAGATTGAGAGAAAGTAAAAGTTAGAAATATCTATGTACTATAACTATAACCAGAGAAATCCAGAATAATGTGAAAAATTGTGGCTAAAAACAACTTTGGAAAAGTCAAACCAACTTTTCCAAAGCGTGCTGCCGACATAGCACTCCTATATATATATGCTATTAGCAGCCCACTTGTAATCAATCAAGGAAAGCTGAAGCTACAGCCTGTCTAACTCCTAGCCAACTCTTGTATCCAACTCTAAAAGCCTTGTACCCTTCTTATTTCACAATCAATAAAATAAAATTATCTTGTTACTGTTTCAAAATGCTTTCTATTCCACATAAAGAATATTGTCCTAAATAGTAAACCAACTATTCTCTAAGCCTCTCTTCTCCCTTTAACTAACAATGCTGTTTAATTTTCGAGTTTTGATACTATATGCAGTAATTTTTAGCTGTAAATTCATCATACCGAGGATAAAAACTCAACATTTACAAACTGTCAACTATACATAGCATTCAAAATTTTCAGGTGGAATTAATTAAGAGATCACAACATCAACAACATCCATGAGACCATAAAATAAAACCCAGCTTAAGTAGCGACCTGCTAGATATATCTTGTTTGAAAATAGAGCTCCAATTCCATATGAGCTAAGCTACTGCATATGACTAAAAACTTCAACACAGCTATCAGCTGCCACGCAACACAAGACTAATTAAGAGCAGGCATTAGCATTAACATAAGAAGTGTTATATGGGAAACATATACTTAAGCCTATAAGCTTGGTGCATTAGTTTTGCATTACCACCATGCCCCTTCAAATCCAGCTGCAACACAATATTAATGAAAGAAAAAAGGATATGCAATTATGCAAGCATCTACCCATGTGTACATTGAGCTATGATATGACCCTCCTACTGTTGAAAATATTTATAATCTAAGATATTGGAAGTAAATAATTACATAGCCTGAAGAAAACATTACTCCAATGAATGCAAGCAGCTAGCTCATGCTCATCCATGGTAAATATATGGATCAAATGACTCCAAGGGTCCCCCCAAACACTTCAGTAGAAAGCAGAGAGAGGCATATAATCTCCAATGAAGTGTTTGAGGGAACTCTAGGGGCCATCTGATGCTTTGTTAATCGATCTTTACTTAACTTCAGCTTTGGTTGCTGCTTTGGTTCGAATGGTTCCTAAGCAACGCACCCAAGTATTTATAGAGAGAGTTGTCTTGTCGTGCATGCCTTTGCATTCTATTCAAAGAGACAACTATTGTACTATGGAACTATGGAGTGTACCTAGACGTAAGTGTGAGCTAGCTACATGGTCAAATTTGGTAACACTAAAACTAAGGAATATCGACTTCGAGTAGCCACATGCTAGCCAGTCAGCTCATAAATCAAATTCTACTCTTTCACCCATGAATTCCTTTGTCCAGCCTGTAATTTTCAATTTTATTTGATATATATACTTTGATAGATACACTACATACCAATACTTTGAATTATGTGATGTGGATGCTACAAGAAAAGTTATGTTCAAGTTGATGCAGAAGAGCATGTGGCAAATGAGGGCCTGATGTGCTTCAATTGCAGTCACCATATATATATATATATATATATCAGAACTGACCTTGTTGTTTGTTGGCTTGGCAGCATCTGACGTCTGAGTTAAAAGCATGTGCAGCTGCTAAGTAAGAGTTCAACGTACGTGTCCTCTATCTGTTACGTTCATCTGATATATCCATCTGCTATCAAAGAGAGATTGACGAGGTTGAGGAGGATGGGCCTCGGAAATGCAAGATGCTTCTACTTCTACTTTATTCATCTTACTCATATTTCTGTCTAGGTTCAAATTTCAACACAACTTACTTAATTAAGATGTTTGCGTCTGGTTATTCTGACACTCTTCATGTTAACACGTCTCAAAGAGAGACAAAGACCCTCACCCCCAATCTCATAGCCAAGTGGTACAAGTTAACTAGCTTATCAGAACTTCCCATTTGCTAATATCAGGGACATGGGTCAATCCTCATCTGCAGCTTCATGTCACATCTAATATCTTAGACACCAGTACTTTTAATAATCACAGATGCCAGACTACAATATGCCAAATGCATGTTTCAATCTTACACTCGTCTCAGTGCATATATTTTGCAATAATTAATTAACTGACAGAGCTCATGAAAGTAATCAAATGTAGTGTTTATGGTCACAAAGATAAAGTTTGTGATTGAGAGTATGCTGGTTCTTACTGCTTCTCTGATTGTAAGTGGTGACAAGATAGTATCTAAAACACAGGCAGGAAATTTGGCTAACAAGATAATTGACTTCTGTTGTCTTTCTCCTGTCTCTGATATCCATGTTCTAATCAACCCATTATGCTCAACATGGTACTGAAACTAGTAACTTTTTGTTTTGTTTTAAATCTTTCATAACCAGATTTAAATTAGTCCATTATCTTTTCCTATTTGATTCTTGTCCAAAATAGGGGTGATATGCCTACCTAATCAGGGTTTATTAAGATCAAATCCCAATTCCCTGAACAAGTTCAAAACCTTACATGGAAAACATAGAATGCAGGGAGGAACATTAATTTATGAACCAAACACCAAAACAGCAGAACATGGCTGGTCCAGCCAACCAGAGTTCCCCCAAAGACTTCATTAATGGGGTACAATACAATATATCTCCTTTTTTTCTTCATAAGGGAATGCAAGCAACTCAATACCAACTATATATAGTCAAAGGGATCGATCATGAAGGGCATGTATGTCCTTTGATATAGTTAATAAAATGGTGGCCTTCATCAGAATGGGAGGACCAGTAGAGAAAAGAAAAATGCCAGAGTTGAAGTATTGAAAATTGAACCTGGTCAGGATTGCAGTCAGATGGAGAGAACGAAAGTGAAGTGTGTGGGATGGCCATAAGCTCTCACAAGTAATCTCAACCCTTTCATATCCCAACCTGTTCCTTTCAGCATTTTCATTGGATGCAAAAGCATACATTCCAGAAGCATGGCTTAGCAAGTAGCCACAGCACATATGAGGTTCTGATCAGCCCTGAGACAATCTGATAGATTTCCTTGAGAATAAGTGTGGGCCAGGTAATTAATTTCAACCCTTCTTTTATTTGTGCCTGTGTGATTGAGTGTATATACCAGAATCTAGTAAGTACTAGTGCTTGTGTATATGACTCATATAATATGAGTTGAAAACGCTGAAAAGGAAAGGCTTCTCTCATGGAGAAAAATGCATGTGAACAGAGGATAGAATGGCACATGACAACCACCTCAATATTATTCCTTTCTTCCATCTAGCCTCCAATGTCGTCTAGGTTCATTACTCAAAGATCGATTTCGTCCTCTGATTTTCTTCCTATTGAACAAGGACAAGGAAATAAGGAACAAGCAATGCAACATAAACACAACCAAATGCAAAGAGGGCCAGACACTATATATATAGCAGAGGTAGTTGCAACTCATAACCAACAAACCAAAACAAGCTTTGAAAGTAGTAGAAAGAAAGAAGTAGGAACTTTGTTAGGTGTCACCTAGAGTTCCCTTGACCACTTCATTGGGAAATAGTCTTCTTGTCACTATACATCCTACTGAAGTGTTTGGGGGAACTTCAGGTGGCATTTGATTTTACAAAGAATAATGAAGGGGCCTATCTGTCACAATGTACTTATCATGGTAGCTCTAACAAAGGACGAATGTTGTCAGGTGTCACCGAGAGTTCCCTTACTCACTTCATTGGGAAACAATTATTTCTGATCAATTATATATCCTACTGAAGTGTTTGGGGGAACTCCTGGTGGCATTTGATTTTACAAAGAACAAAAGGGCTTATTCGTTGCAATGTACTTATTGTAGAAGCTGTGATGAAGAAAGAGGAAATATTGTCAGGTGTCACCGAGAGTTCCCTCGACCACTTCATTGGGAAATAATTTGTTCTAATCAAATATATATCCCACTGAAGTGTTTGGGGGAACTCCTGGCGGCATTTGATTTTACAAAGAAGAACAAAGCACTTACAAGCCTTCCACATTTCCACCACCATGGATTTCGAGTTTTAGTCCCCCATCGAAATGTACTTGGTGTTTGAAGCTCTGGTAATGATCTAGTTTGCTACATTTCTCTTTTTGCAGCTAATCTTAAACTGTATGCACACACACTTTTTTTTTCTTCATGAATTGATCAGCATGGAATAACATTGGACAGTTTTGCGACAACAGTAGCAGCGGTAGCACAATAAGGAGTTATTCTCAGCAATGTCATACAATAACTGGTTCTTATATTTTCTTCAGTTTTGCCTTTCTTTTCAAAAACTCCAATAATCATTTGCTTTTTCAATTTTGTTTTGTTTGCCACAAGATATCAACAACAGGACAAAACCAAATCAAGATAGACAGTTGCAGGCAGAGCAGTGCAAGAATGGACGAACCTGTCAAAGCGAAGTTTGTGCCTTAAACCTGGGACTGAGGACCATAGGACTTATTGGCCGCCTTTGTATTGCCCACTAGGCCATTAAATCTATGGCCAAGTACTTGGTTGGATCCAATTCCATAAAACCTTGATACTATTGGAATCTCACATCGGTGGGGTGAAAGACAAATGGGTTTAAATAGAATTACCACACTCTAACTAATATCGAGGCCTTTTGTGGTAAAACCCCACACCTGAAGGATTGGGCAGGTGGTAAAGTGGGGACAGTATCGATATTATTGGAGTGGGACCCATCGGGCAGATCCAAAAACTTCAACATGGTATCAGAGCTAAGGCCCGTACAAGCTAACGAAGCTTGTCACCGAGAAGGAGAAACAAGTCGGACTCTTAAAAATTTTAAAATAAAAAAATAAAAAAATAAAAAATAAAATAGAAATTAAAAAAAAGCCCAACGAATAGTAGAAGCAAAAGTGGAAATGGAAATGTCAGCCAGCTACAGAATCGTAGAAGCAAAAGTGGAAATGTCAGCCACTAGATTTACAGACAACAAAGCAAATTAAGGAAAACAAGTTATATTATGTTTAAGTTTCAATGTTTCATGTTGTCTACTACATATCATACAAGACAGAGCTATTAGCTATTTTCATGCCTTGTCTGGGCGATCAAATAGAGAAATTGAGGGAGTAACTTTGAGTTTAAAGTTCGCAGTTAAAGATCCAATTTTTTCCCCAATTCCTCCAAAGCCAAAGTATAAATTAGGGTGTCATGATGGAGAGAGAGGAAAGAGAAAGAACCATACCACCCCATTTAGAGAGTTGATTGACAAAATGAATGGGCCCAATGTTAAGATTTAACATCCAAAAGCACTATGGCCCCAACAGAAAAAATATCCAAATGAAGTTGTTCCAGTTGAAATGATATGGGCCCCGGAGGTGGTGGTCCAAAACAAAACACTTTCACGCAATCACCCAAAATAATCAGAGCTCTATTATGTTATTTTGTTTTTAAAAAATACTAGTCATACAACATTGTTTATTATCTCTCTAATAGAGATGGGCCCCATTATATTGGTGGGCTCCACCAGGTATGCCTAGCATTGCTCTTTATTGTTTTTCGTCAAAGAGAGCTGTTATGCTATTGGAACCTAAAATCGTGATTTTACCCTTAAAAGAAATGGGTGTTGTTAAACGAACCCTAAAATTAACTGAGTACACCCTATGATCTAAGTACACGCTAATATTTAAATCAAAATGTAAAACTAAGTAAGTACACCCTATTTAACTACCAAAAATACCCCCGGTATAATACACTATCACACAACACCAAATACGTTCGAGAGCTGGCTGCCGAACACTATCAAACCACCAAACATGAGCAATTGAATGCAATTTGGATCTTGGATTCTTCCAAAGTGCAATATCGAACTTGTTAATGGACTGGAAGCCGATTATGGAAGTATAACTTTACTGAACATCTACCAAATTTATATAATAAATAAATCATATACATCAGAATTTATGGAATCCATGTTGTATGCGATGCTTCAGGTTTTTCAGCATAAGACATTCAGTTACAAAGCATAAGGAGCTTCGATGTGAACCCTGCCCATTCCAGGTACGGTGTTTTTAAGGTGCCTCTCTCTTTATCTCATCTTCCCCTTCTCTACTACTAGAAATGGCGGACTACTATTCGGGAGATGAAGCTGAAGTGGATGAAGTTCTATATATCTTCTTTGAAGACAAAGTGGAGCTGGATGAAACAATTGAGGAAAAAATTGCCCTGGTAGGTTTGCTGGTAGCTGACCAGGAGCCACCTTTGGCCACGGTGAAGGAGATCTTACGAGTTCTTTGGACCAATATGGGGGTGGTCAAGATATGTAAAGCAAAAGACAATGTTTACTCTATCACGGTAGGTGATGAAACTGTTGCTCGTAGGCTGCTGGATGGAAACCGTTGGCTTATCAAGGGTACGTGTTCACAGTCAAGCCCTTACCGTTATACCATTCCAATGATGATATTCAGTCGGACCGAGCCATCTTTTGGGTCCAGGCGCATGGAATCCCAAGGAACCAACGCACAGCCAAGAATGCCCGCATGCTGGGACCGAGGATTGGTGCAGTGATGGAAGTTGAGGAGAGTGAAGAGATTGGTTTTAGAGGCTTTATGCGAATCCGTGTGGATCTGGACTCCTCCAAACCCTTGCCTGCGGGATTTATCATGCCGTGTCCTATTCAAGGCAAAAGAACAATCCGCCTTCGATACGAGGGTCTACGTGATTTCTGTTTTGCTTGTGGCTGCCTTGGTCACTCGAGGGGTTGTAGTGCCAATACCAACCAGAGGCTTCTTGCCCTGAACTTGCGATATGATGAATCACTCCGAGCTCCACCAACCTCTTGAGCCTCCACTCGCCTTTTTCCGGCAAGCGGTGGAGCTCGCCCTGATAAGTCCTGCTGGTGGAAAAGAAAGCCGGACACTGCTGATTCCAGTGGTCGGGGAGGGTATGGTGGGAATTTCCCACTAGTCAAACGACAGACCATTCATACAGACAATACCGCTGCGGCCCTATCTGCACCTCTGCAACAACCTGCAATGCTGCAAAGTAAGACAAAGGGGGTTGCTCAGTCTGTTTCGCTATTGCATCCTGCCACGTTGCAACATGGGACTGATGCCGCATGTCCCTCGAGACGTATGCCTATCATTGCATACTATGATAAGCAGTGGGATCCTGAGAGCTATGGGACCCAGTTTTATAATGGCACTTTGTCGGTAGCTATCAGTGGCCTCTCGTTGGATAAGAACTGGTGCGACCCTCTTCGTGTACCTCCTTGGGCCCTGGCAAAAGTTAATGGGCCAATGAGGTTCACATACAGAGAGAATACCACGGATTTGGGCCTCACACATGAAGGCCGGGAGAGCGATTTACCCCATTCAGTTCCAGTTGGTAATGCAGGTTCGGGACTCTTAAATTCGATTCAAAATGAGGCCTTATCAAGGGATGGGCTTGATTCGGATAGCAGGCTAAGTATTGAGGAAATTCTTTTGACCCCATCCCCTGCTGCTGAGGCCCAAGGCAAGAGGAAACTTGTTGATGCAGGGCCTGCTAAATGTGAGAAGCTGCCCAACCCTTTTGCCCAACCATCGAAGAAGACTAGGGCCTCTTTTAGCCCCACTCCTGGTTGTTCCCTTCGACTGTCTAACAGAGGCGGTAGGGGAATGCGAGGTCGTAACAGAGGAGTTTGGGGCCATCATGCTGGGACCAGACCTGGTGCCACAGTTCAAATGGTTTCTATCTCTGAGGGGCATAGTTCTGAATTATGTGAAGTCCAAGTTAGCCCCTCAAAGGAATTGGCAGCATGGGAAGCCAAGAGGAAAGTTAAGGGAAAGGTGGAAATGCTCCCCCTCCAGGGTGGTGGCGGCTGGCCCAAAATAGCCGCACGCCAGTTATGATACAACTCTCTTGGAACTGTCAAGGGTTGGGGAACCCCTTGACAGTTCTGTATCTGAAAGAGCTCATTAGCTCTAAAAAACCCACTGTGGTGTTTCTTATGGAGGCAAAACAGAACCACCATAGAATCAATGCTTTGCGTCGTCAATGTGGGTTCTATAAGGGCTTCTCGGTGGGTCCTGATGGACTGGCAGGAGGCTTGAGTGTTTGGTGGAAACCAAATATTGAGGTTAATATCCTCGATTCCTCAAAATACTGGATCGATGCTATAATTCGTGTGGAGGCTGAAAATTTGTCAGCAAGATTTACGTGGCTATACAGAACCCCTTACAGTAGTGAAAAATCTGCCTTTTGGGATAATCTGCATACCTTTGGTGACATGGGTAACCTACCATGGGTCATTATTGGTGATCTAAATGAAATCTGCTGGGAATCAGAAAAAGAAGGGGGGAGTGGTTGGAATGTAAATCGCAGACGTTACTTACGGGATTTCATGGACCATCTTGGGCTTGTGGACCTTGGCTTTGTTGGCCAAGCCTTTACATGGGTACGCAGAATTGGCAATGTTACCCATCTTAGGGAACGGTTAGATAGGGGTCTGTTTAATCTTCAGTGGCTGGAAAGGTGGCCTAACTCTTGTGTCTCCCACTGCGCTCGATTTGGCTCTGATCACTGCCCAATTCTCCTTGATAATAGTCCGAATTTTACCAAAGGTAAGAAACTCTTTAAATTCAAAGCTCAATGGGCTAAGGACTCTTCTTGCTTGGAGGTTATATCAAATTGTTGGAGGAGTGACCTAAACGGCTCTCCTTTAAGTCGATGGACCCGGAATCTGGCCTATTGTAAAAGGGGACTTATCCAATGGAGCAAGGATCGCCACCCTAACAATAAAGTTCATATTCAGCAGCTTCTTGGGTCTCTTGAAGTTGATCAAATTGCTCACCCTCTTGGTGAACCTAATGTGACCAATGACTCTATTCAAAGGGAGATGGCCCAACTTTGGAAAAATGAAGCTCTTTATTGGAGTCAAAGGTCTAGGCTGAAATGGCTAAAAGTGGGCGATTCAAACTCTAAGTTCTTCCACATTTCAACCATCCAACGTCGTCAGCAAAATCGGGTGCTCAAAATTAAAAATGTCCATGGCGACTGGTTAAATGGAGAGAAGCATGTTCGTGTCGAGTTTCATAACTACTTTACCAGTCTTTTTACCTCAAGTGGCCCTAGAGACTGGGGAAATATTTTGGATACCATCCCTCAGCTGGTAAGCCCTGAGATGAACACTGCTCTTGTGGCCCCTTTTTCGGAAGTGGAGATTCGGGAGGCAGCCAACCAACTTGGAGCCCTTAAAGCTCCTGGACCGGATGGGTTTCCAGCCTTATTTTATCAATGGTACTAGCAAATTGCCAAATCCATTATTCTTGATACTGCTGATGAGTTTGCTGGAGGGAATCTCTCTCTCCAGAAAATCAATGGTACTCATTTAGCCCTGATTCCCAAGGTGCAGTTGCCTGAGTACACCTCCCAGTTCAGGCCTATCAGCTTGTGCAATACTTCCTATAAAATCCTTTCCAAGGTTCTTGCCAATAGGATGAAGGTTCTCATGCCGATGTTGGTTTCTGACCATCAAAATGCCTTTCTTGAAGAGCGACAAATACAGGATAACATTATTATAGCCCATGAGGCTTTCCATTACTTGAAGCTAAAGAAAACCGGCAACAAATTTGAAGTGGGTTTAAAGGTGGACATGAACAAGGCCTATGACAGAGTTGAGTGGGACTTTTTGGAAGCCATCTTGGTAAAAATGGGGTTCTGTAATGGCTGGGTTCGTCTTGTCATGACCTGTGTGAACTCTGTCTCTTTTGCTATCTTGTTAAATGGAAAACCTGGGCCTTCCTTCAAGCCAACCAGGGGCCTGAGGCAGGGTGACCCCATGTCCCCGTATCTGTTCCTTTTGGTGTGTGAGGTCCTTTCACGCAATCTATCCAAGCATGTGATGAATGGATACATTCAAGGGATTAAGCTCTCTCGCCGAAGCCCCATGTTGTCCCACCTGTTCTTTGCAGATGACTCGTTATTTTTTGCTAAGGCAGACGTAACAAATTGTGGGAAGCTTAAAGAGGTCCTTGAGAAGTATTGCTTTGCTTCGGGTCAGCTAATCAATTTTGAAAAGTCTAGCTTGGTCTTCAGTGCTAATACCCCCGAGATGACTAGAGCGGCTATCGGCTCCCTTTTCTCCGTTTAGTGCTCGATCGACCATGGTTCTTATCTTGGTCTACCTTCTGCGTGGGGGAGATCTAAAAAGAGCGCTATGAGCTTTATCCGTGATAGAGTTAAAAAAAAGGGTAGCAGGCTGGAAAAATGGTGTCTTGTCTCAAGCAGGTAAAGAAGTGCTCATCAAGGCGGTTGCTATGGCTGTCCCAGCTTATCCTATGATGTGCTTCAAACTTCCCCTGTCCTCATGCAAGGAAATCAATGGGGATATAGCCCGGTTTTGGTGGAGCAATCCTGATAGGGATTCTCAGATCCATTGGAAGTCTTGGAACGCTCTGTGCCTTGCTAAAACGGATGGTGGGCTTGGTTTCAGGGATCTTGCTGATTTTAATCTAGCCTTGCTTGCCAAGCAAAGCTGGAGGATTCTTCTGAACCCCAACTCTTTGTGGGTCAAAATTCTGAAAGGGCGCTATTTTCCCGATTGCGGTTTCTTACACGTAGAGTTGGGTTCTCGACCCTCTTGGATCTGGTCGAGCTTGTTGGAGGGCAGAAATTCCATCCTTTGTCATGCCCGTAAGCAGGTGCTATCTGGTGATCAGACCAGTATTTGGAGGGATAACTGGATTCAAGATATTGGTGTAATTCGGCCCATTGCTCCCATTGCGCCCACTGCCCCACAGTTGGTTCGTGATATAGTGGACTCTGAGAACAATTCTTGGAGAGTGGACTCTATCTGAGATTTTATTGATTGGAAGACCGCTAGAGCGATCCTTGCTATGCCTATCGGGAGTTCTATCCTTCCTGATAAGTTCATCTGGCAGTGGACTTCCAACGGGATCTATTCGGTTAAGTCTGGGTATCACTGTCTCCACTCTGTTAATCGGTGGAGCCTTACTGGAAGCTCTCACTCCTCTGTTTCCACTCCTGGTCCAATTTGGAAAGCCTTGTGGAAAATCCGTACCCTCCCAAAAATTAAAAACTTCCTTTGGCGGGTTGTGCCCAATGCTATTCCAACCAGACTTAACCTTTACAGAAGGAAAATTGTCTATGACCCTCGCTGTCCCCTCTGTGAGAGCTATGAAGAATCTATTGAGCACACTCTCTTTCTGTGCGCCTGGACTAAGTTGGTGTGGTTTGCCTCTCCCCTCACCTATAAGGTTGATCTTCAGAGGTTTACTATTGTTGCCTGCTGGTTAAATGAGTTGTTTGGCTATCAAGGATGGAGCAAAGTCAACAGGAACTGGGCTCTTACTTTGGTCAGTTTCATTACTTGGGAGATCTGGAAAGCCCGATGCAATGCGGTCTTCGAAGGAGGTGCTCTTCAACCCCTTGCTATTTTGGCAAAAGCTGATCGGGCAGCCAAAGAGTTTTTGGAAGCTATTGCTCCCCCCCCTTCCAATCATCCCAGGCCTCCCCCTCTGGGACTGGATCCTCGGTGGCTCCCCCCCCATCAGGGGTATGTAAAAGTAAACACTGATGGTTCTTGGAAACCAGGCTCTACAAAGGCAGGTTTGGAGGTTGTAATTCGGAATGCGAGCGGCCTCTTCTGTGCTGGTTTGGCCTGTCCCTACTGGAGTAATTCTGCTCTTCAAGCTGAAGCGGCGGCTGTGATTAAGGGCCTTCGCCTTGCATCCCAAGGCAGATATCTAGATATCGAGATGGAAACTGACTCTAAAGTCCTTGTGGATGGTATTAATGGTCGTGCAAGCAACCAGGTCTGGAGCATTCTGCCCCTTTTGGAAGATATTCAAAGTCTTTGCCAATCCTTCCGCGAAGTCCGTTGGAGGTGGGTCGCTAGGATCGCAAATTGTGCTGCCCACAAGGCAGCGTCGATAGGTTTCGGGTCTGTGGAACTGGAAAGTTGGGCCTATCGGCCACCGCAATCCCTGGTGCATGTCTTGGTCTCGGATGGGCTGCCTTGCCCTCCTAGTAACTCTTTGTAAGGTCTCAGACTGAGTAGGGAAAAGCTTTATGCTGGTCTCTTTTGAGTCTTGTCTTGTTTTTCCTTTTTCAATCTGTGTTATGTGTAGCTTAGCCTTGCTTTTGTACTGGTGGTCTATTCTTGGATTCCTGTTTCAATGAAATTACCACCTTTTCGACCAAAAAAAAAACACAATGAAGAATATGGTCGGAAGTAAATAAAAACTTATGAATTTAAATCATGTAAAATTCATAGTCTAAACAATCTTCTAAGAAGAGTTCCAGCATGAAATTGCTTCAATACATTAACTGTGCGAATGTGTAGTTAATCAAGCCATGTCTTCATCATCATAGTCCAAGCGGTCTGCAAACACACATTAGCTATCAAAATCAAAAACCAGAACAGAAAACCAACAAGTGTTAGACTTATAACATATATGTTAAAAAGTAATGCATCATCTATGGTTTAAATTTAGAAAATAAAATTATCAGTTGTATCTTTTTCTACATGTTTCTTATGAAGAGTTGTATCTCTTGACTATATGAGAAGTTATATCTTTTAGATGAGATTTTCTATTTAAACCCCACACTTCTCTTAGTTCACCCCATGTTCTAAGTTCACTCCATCTTTTAATTTAAATTTTCACAATTTCTAAGAAAACCCCACTATTTTCCCAAACTAACCTTAAATACACCCCAAACTGAAAAAATAAGAAATAAAAGAGATTTTCTATTTAAATCCCACAATTTTCTTTGTTCCCAACAGAAAAAAAAAAACACAAACAAATAGAACCCTAAACCCGAAATTTAATACTTTCTATAGAAAGAGAACAACTTTACCTCTCTCCAAGAACTGTAACTGGAATTCCAACACTTGGGTATTGTTGAGTTGATAATCAACAAGCTTTTCCATCAACTCCCACGCATATTTAAAGAGGTAGGCTCATCAATTTTCTATGTCTTTCAAAGAGAAGAGTAATCTGGCAATAGGATGTAGAGAAGTTTGTATTTTTCTAAAACTTGATATCAAGAGTGGTGGGGTGTGTGGGGTGTGGGGTGTGGGGTGTGTGTATAGATGTACTAGGGTTAATTATTAAGTTGGATGACCTTTTTTGTCTTTTTACACAATAATAAAACTTACAACTTAATGATTTAAGTATTGGGGTGAACAAAGAGAAGTGCGGGGTTTAAATAGAACATCTCTATCAAAAATTGTATCTGTATCTCTTAGAATTAATTCACGAGTCGTGTCTTATTATGTAAAGGTGTAAATGCAATTATAAATAGCCAATGTTATATAGGCTGTTGTTGTATCGAAGAAAGTTAATAAAATCAGTTTGTCTAATTCTCTGTTTTACAAACACTCTCTGCCTTACTTTATATTTATATCATATTCTTCAGTTTTGTGATCATTCCCCCCAACAAATTTGGTACCAAAGCAATATTTGATCTTATTGCTACCACTGTTATTAGCAATGACATCAAGTTCAAATTCATCAACCATTGGGAATATCCATAATCTAATGCTTATTTTTAATGGTGAGAATTATGAGTATTGGAGTGTTCAAAAGAAGACTCTATTTATCTCTCACGATCTTTAGGATATTGTAGAAGATGGGTATGCGGAACACGAAACATCAAAAGCAGGAAAGGAAACACAAGAAAGGCAGCATACTTATAAGGAAAATAAGAAAAAAGATGCCAACGCGTTGTTCCTAATTCAACAAGTAAGCAGAAATCTCTTTCCAAGATTACTTTCAGCAACAACATCAAAGAAGGCTTGGGAATTCTCAAAATTGAGTTCAAAGGTTCAAAAAAAGTGATATCCATCAAACTGCAATCCTTACGGTGGGAATTTGATAACTTACTTATGAAAGACAATGAATCCATTCAAGCATTCTTCACAAATGTTTCTAGGATTGTGAACCAAATCATATGTTATGGGGATACAATTCCAGACAAGAAAATCATAGAGAAAACTTTACGAAGTCTACTGCCAAAATATGATCATGTCGCTGCCGCAATAGAAGAATCAAAAGATTTATCTACACTTTCTTTACATGAACTAATTGGTTCATTGGAAGCGTACATGAAAAAATAATCAGCAGATCCACAAAACAATCAGTGGAGCAAGCTTTCCAGTCCAAGGTGAATTCGAAGAAGAAAGAAGACAAACAAAAAGGAGGACAATTCCAGAAATCTCAAAATGGGAGAACCAAAAAATTTGGGCGTAGAAATTCCAACAAAGGAGGCAACAGTTTCAATAATCAACAAGGAAGCAGTAGTCCCAATCATCAACACGGAAGCAACATTTCCAATAATCAACAAGGAAGAAAAAATTCAAATAATCAAAATGGAAGATCATCCCTTCAATGCTATGTTTGCAACAAATATGGGCATAAAAGTGCAAATTGCTAATACAAATGTACCCGGTGCAGGATACCCAACCATTCACAAAGAAACTGGAGATATCATAAAAACAATGAAGCGAATTTTACAAAGAACAATGACTCTCAAGAGCAATTATTTTATATATGTTTCAGTTCTCATCAAGATTCACAAGATGTTTGGTACGTGGATAGTGGATGCAGTAATCATATGAAAGGAAATAAGCAATGCTTTGTCAAGTTAGAAGAAAAAGTGAACTCACAAGTCAAGCTTAGTGATGGAAAACTACACAACGTGGAAGGCAATGGTATCATTTCAAAGCAAACAAAAGGAGGTACTTCAAAACTTATCCATGATGTGTTGTATGTTCCTAAGTGTGGCTCAAAATTTACTAAGTGTGGGACAACTTTTGCAAAGAGGATTCTTGGTGAAATTTGAAGATGATTGTTGTGTTATTTCTAATAAAAAGAATAACACTCTGATAGCAAAGATAAAAATGACAACAAGCAAAGTTTTTCCGTTGTTCATGACATCAAAAGAAAACTATGCTTTGGAAGCAGAGAAAGTTGATGGTTTGTTATTATGGCATCTAAGATATGGACATTTGAATCAAAGAAACATGCAACTATTACACCCAAAAAATATGGTGGTTGGACTTTCGTCTATTCACTATGAAAAGGAGATATGTTAAGGTTGTATTTTTGCGGACCAACTCGTACACCATACTTCAATAACAAAAGGTACTTCATTCTATTCGTAGATGATTTCTCCAGGATGATGTGGGTATATTTCTTAGAACAAAAGTCATAAGCATTTTCTATTTTCAAGCAATTCAAAGCTTTTGGAGAAAATCAGAGTGGTCACAATCTAAAGGTGTTAAGAACAAATCGTGGTGGAGAGTTTACATCAAATGAAATTTTTGAATATTGCAAAAACAATGGTATTAAAAGAGAGTTGACAACTGTGAGAATATGAAGGAAAAGAGTCTCACATTGGAAAGTTGAGAAACCTAGCAAGGGCTTATAAGGAGTTGGGCTACTCCCCCCATTGCCAATTGGTTTTGGGGTGGAACTTCAACTTCCTTCATGGTATCAGAGCGGGTTAGCCCACGTGTGAAAGCCCAACAGCCACACGTGCTTCACGTCACCCAATATGTGTTGTCCACGTGTTAGGCTTGAAAATTCGTCACACGTGCCGGGGCGTGTGAGAATGTGAAGGAAAAGAGTCCCACATTGGAGGCAAAAGGTCTGCCGAATGCATTTTGGGTTGAAGCAATTCATACAGCTGTGTTTATTCTTAATCGGTCTCCAACCAAGGCAGGCAAAGATAAGACTCCTTTTGAAGCATGGCATCATTTTAAACCAAAGGTGGATTTCTTCAAGATTTTTGGTTGCATTGCATATACACATATCCCTTCTCAAAAGAGAGA